TCCCCAGCCTGTGGGCTGCTGCCTGCACCTGGGCAGGGCCAGTAGCCGGCCCTCCGCCCGAGGCCGCCTGGCGGTGCCCAAGGGGAAGTGGGCATCCGAGGAAGCAAGAGGCTACGTGGAAGCTCAGGTTTTGCCCGATGGCTGGTCTGGCAGGTGAGAGGAGGTGAGGGGGAGAGGCTGTGTTAGGATATTTTTTTGCTTTTGCTATTGAACCCCTTAGAGAGGGAGAGGGGAGAAGGGGAAAGAGACGGGGGTGGAGAGGGACAGAAAGCTGGGAGCCTGGACGCTCTATGTCTACCCCACTTCAGGGTCCCCACAGCCTTGTCCGGTGCTGACCGCTGAGGGGACACACAGACGCGACGCAGGAAACGGGAGTGGACGTGCCCGCCTGCTCAAGGCCAGGAGGGCTAAACAGTCCGAAATGATGACGAACGCCTGTAATTACCCAAACCGGGAGGTTGTTAAAGGAACAACCTCTTTGTAAAGATCTCTTATCCCTGTCCCGACTGCTCCATCCTGGCGGGACCGGAGCCGGGCTGTGCTTAGAGCCCGCCTCGCAGCCTCGCAGCAGCATCGCGGGGGGAGGAGGAGGTCTTTGGCAGCAATGCCCAAGGTGAGGGGGACCCCAAAAGCAAGTTCAGGGAGGGCGGCAGGGGAGGGGCAGGGGCATACAGGAGAGAGACCAGAGTGCAGTGGGCCGCTGGGGCCGGCTGGGGGGGACCTGGGCAGGGGGCAGGGCACGGAGCCAGGGAGCCAGGAGCCATCCTAATCGCTGGGCACGTGGTTCTCGTTCTGGAGCTGGTGCCAGCGCTCGATCTTCTTGTCCTTGTTCTTCAGGCACTCGTACCAGTGTTTCAAGCGCTCTCCCTTGGCCGAGATCCCCAGCTGGCAGCCTCCTGGGTGACAGGGCGGACAGGGACAGGGGTCAGAGTGGAGGGACACAGGGGACTTTCATTCTGGACCCAAACGTCCAGTTGGCGGAAAACTGCCGCCAAGCAGCGAGCCCCTCCGGCGCCCGGGCATCGCGCTCTGAGGGTGGAGGTTACGGTGTTGTGACTCCTGGCCTCTCTGCCCGCAGGCCAGCTGCTCACGAACCGGCCGTGGCTCCCTACTGAGGCACCGCGCTGTCTGTCTGTACAGACCGGCCACAGATCCCTACACCCACAGCAACCGACCTCCCGCTCCCTGTGGGAACTCATCATCTGTCTCCAAAGAGTTCCGCTCGCGCTCTGAGGGTGGAGGTTACGGTGTTGCGACTCCTGGCCTCTCTGCCCGCAGGCCAGCTGCTCAGGAACCGGCCGTGGCTCCCTACTGAGGCACCGCGCTGTCTGTCTGTACAGACCGGCCACAGATCCCTACACCCACAGCAACCGACCTCCCGCTCCCTGTGGGAACTCATCATCTGTCTCCAAAGAGTTCCGCTCATCACCCCGCTCCACTGCCGCCACGCCTCTGCCCAAGCTGTGTCCCTGGCCTGGAGTTCCTTCCCTGCTCCATCTTTTTTTTTTTTTAATGTTTTTATTGATTTTTTGTAGAGAGAGAGGAAGAGAGAGGGAGAGAGGGATAGAACATCAAGAGGAGAGAGAAACACCATGGATCGGCTGCCTCCTACACGCCCCCTACTGGGGATCGAGCCCACAACCCGAGCATGTGCTCTGACTGGGAATCAAACTGGCGACCTGTTGGTTCATGGGTTGATAGTCAACCACTGAGCCACACTGGCTGGGCTCCCCAACCATGTTTAGTGACCGTCCTTCCTCATTGTTTGGAGGCCGACTGGGAAAATCAGAGCCTTCATCCTGGACTCGCACACAGACTAGGGAGACATCCCTTGCACCCCATTTCCTGCAGAGCCACAGGCCCGTGCTCTGTGATTTAACTATCCCGCCGGAGGTGATCTGTTCGGCAAAGAACCAATCATGACCCAATCTTCCCAACTTCGTAAGCTCGCTCCTCTAACAGCTTCTCAAACTGGACCCAAGTAGGGACCATGGTTTCTGACTCAGTGTTTGGATGATGTGGTGCCAAAAAAAGAAAGACTCTCACCGTCCCCCCTCCCCCCACAGCCCTGGGAGGACAGAGGGCAGGTTTTCGAGGGGAGCTGGGAGCACTCACCGATGTAATCGTTGGACTTGCCGATGTCATAGTCCCAGACCGAGATGTCCAGCGACTTCTTCGCCAGGTCGCTGTGTTTGATGTCATAGAAGAACTCCTGGATGCAAGAGAGGAGGGCGGGTGTTTGAGCTAAGAGGCCAAGTCTGAGGGGTTCACAGACCAAGGGAGGCCCTGGAAGTAGGCGTTCTGGGAACAAGGGGGCCCTCCCACTCTGAGCCTCTATTCCAGGCCTGACAATCCCTTTTCTTTCTTGCTTTTTTTAAAATCCTCACCCGAGGAGTCTCTTTCCATTGATTTCCAGATAGAGTGGAAGGGCGGGAGGAGGGGGGGAAAGAGAGAGAGAAAGAGAGTAAAAGAGAAAGAGAGAGAGACATTTATGTGCCTCCCAAATGCGCCCCTACCGGGGCTGCAACCGAGGTATGTGCCTTTGACCGGGAATCGAACCCGTGACCCTTCGGTGTGCGGGCCGATGCTCCAACCACTGAGCTGAACCAGCCAGGGCCTGACAATCACTTTTCAACAAATATTTTCCATAACAAATCCCTCAAGCCCTGTAATTCTCTTTTCAGTGACTGTTTGGAACTGGGAAGGCAGGTGGAGTTTGCCAGAGAGCTGGTCCTGGCCAAGTTTCCCTGAAGGCCGAGGGCCATGGGTTCAGTCCTTCCACTCGGGTAGGTTTCCCTGGCCGCCATCAGTTAGAGATTCAAGGTAGCTGAGGGGACGGAGGCTGACATAGCAACAGGTGCTTATGTTTCCAGGGTTTTAAAAAATGAAAATGAATATTCATTAGAATATTATATGAAATATTCATGTATTATATTATATGAAATATAATACGAATATACCATATTGTGGCTTTCTTTTCCTGTTTTATAGAACACATGGCAAAAACCAGCTTCCCATGCTAGCAAATATTTCTCTGCATCACCATTTTAAAAAGTATGTTTTATTGATTTTTTTTTTAGTGAGAGAGGAAGGGAGAGGGAGAGGGAGAAACATAAATCGGCTGCCTCCTGCACGCCCCCTCCTGAGGATTGACAGATGACCTGTGGGTGCATGGGACGAGGCTCAACCAACTGAGCCACACCGGCCAGGGAGGCATCACCATTTCAATGGCTTCATTTAATGGCTGTGTGGCTGTACCGTCGCCTAATGCCAGATGGTCAAGTAGTTAGGTTGTTTCCAATTTTTCATGATCATTAATAGTTTGATGAAAGGCACCCTTGTAGCTAAACCATGCGTACACCCATGATGACGTATCAGACTATTCCAAGAAGTGTTTTTCTGAGTTTGTAAAATTGTAAGATAGAGAACAGTGGATATATACTGCAATACCATTGGTGCCCAATAAGAATGTCAGCCACACATATATCTGCTGTATTTATACCGATGTCTGTCTATACACACACACACACATACACACACACACACACACACACATTCATCTATCTATCTGTCTATTAGAATCTATTTATCTATCTAGTCTCCTGGAAATAGATAATACCGTTGCTTCAGAAGAAAAGAAGTGGGTTCTAATAGAGGCTGGAGGAGGAGGGGGTTTTGATCGGATGCCTTCTATGACTTTTGGAATTTTTGAATGTGACTATATTCCCCATCCCCCAGATAAATGGAACTTAAATGTAAAAATGGAAGGCTTTTGCAGGATTTTGACAAACTTCCCTTTGGGAGCGGGACGCTGGCTTCCCCGCCCAGCGTCTGCCTCTCCCCACATGTGCACCCACACCGGGCACCCCGCACTTCAAACAGCTGTGTGCCCGTTTGTTATCAGATATGGGGTCTGGTCTTGATGTGTGCTTCCTCTGTTGCTAATGAGCTGACTGGCGGTTTGGATTTCTTACTTTGTGACCTGCTCAGATTTCAGGAGAGGGGAGGGCAGGACAGCAGCAGTTGGCTCTTTGCTCACAATTCACGAATCAGAGTCAGGGAATCAGGGGGCCATCTGAAGGAGGGACCTGGGGCAGGACGGGCTGCGCTCACTGGCCAGGGGTTGCTCTGGACTCTGTTTCCCCAGAACACTCCCCACGCATGTGCTGATGGGCATGCGTTTTAAAAAAAATGAAATGACACAAAACACACTGTGTTGTAGCTTCCCTTTCCCACTTTGCACCATTTGGTGAAAAGCAGTGTGGCTGACTGGCCCAACATCAGATCATTATATTCATCAGGTATTTCTGGACCCCTCGTGTCTGCCAGGCTTGTGAACAGGTCAGTGAAACCCAGAGGGACAGCATAAGACAGAGGGGTGCATAGAGCTGGGAGCAGAGAGGAAGCCTATCTCTGGGGGATCACACACTGAGTCTTGAGGGATGACTAGGAGTTCGCCAGAGAGGAGAGGAGGGAGAGGGAAGTCTGGGAAGAGGGAACGGCAGATGCAAAAGGCTGAGGGTGAGCCAGGGACCTGCAGGAATTTAGTGTGACTTGGGGAGGGGGGTTGTCTGACGGGGGAGGGGTGGGCTGTGAGTTTGAAAGGGCTTGACTGTCGTGCTAAGAAGTTAGGGAGTCATTGTTGGTTTATTTACTGTCAGCAAGGGGGTGACACATTCAGATGCGCGTTTTACAAAGCTCATTGCCTATGTGGAGGTGACTCAGGAGTCTACCACAAGGGTCCAAGCGTGCCATGCCAGGGTCGCAGGCAAGGCAGCAGCAGTGAGAACACGGAGGAAGGAGCCATTCACTGAGTATCTAAACTGCGGCTTGATGCACCGGATGGATGTGGGGAGGGAGGGAGGGGGCATCGCCAGCTGGGTGGATGGTAAAGGGCGTGACTGTTCTAACGTATCTCCTCAGATTTCAGTATTGCAGCCTGTTAGAACTGGTGAAGTTATGGGAGGTGATTTCATTCGATCTCTCTTCTAACTCAACTTCCTGCCTATGACATGCCTAATCGATAGGTTTTTGTCTCAGGCTTGATTCCTTCCAGGGACAAGAAACTCATTACCTCTCCTTGAGATAATTCAAGCTGATTTATGAGAGAAAGCACTTTCTTGATGTGCCTGATAGCATTCTAGTAGGGAGTTTGTTCCATTCTCACACAGTTAAGATTCCACAGCATGACAAAAACTGGGGCAGCCTTACCTCATTAAATTCAGGATTCAAGGTTTTCCTCTTAATTTGAGTCTTGTGTTTGGCCTTCTTTCCCATGTCTGGTTTCAGCCAGCTGAGAGGAGACACGAGATGCTGCTATGAGTGAAGTTCAATGAATAAGAATAGCCCCTTGGTGACCCCAAAGGCTCCTTCTGGTGTTAGGGGAATAACTGATGAACAGACCAGAAAGCGAATCCACATTAACGATGCCCAGTGTGCATTAGAGCTACTTGATGTCAGGCGCTGACTGCACTAAGCACCTGAGGTGCACTTATCCCTCAACAAACCCTGGACGGTAGAACTACAACCACTCATTTTACCTACAAGGAAACTGAAGGTTCAGAGAAGTTTAGACAGCTGCCTCGGGTCACACAGCAGGGACTGAGCCCAGCTTTTGCATCTGGAGTCTGTGCTCTTAGCCAGGACTTGCTCTCAAAGGATCAAATTGAGACCCTGATGCTGTGCCTGGCATTTTACCATCGATCACCCCTAGGTTGGCCCCAACTCCAGGGGAGACGCCATGTGTGTAGACAAAAGGGAGAAGCTGCAAATCTAATTACTGTCACTCCTCTGCTGAAAACTATTTAATGGCTTCCCTTTGTCCTGGCGTAAAGTTCGAAATCTCTGATGTGGCCTTCAGAGCCTGAGAGGTTGGGTCCCTGCTCTAGCCCAGCCAAATATCACCCATGCTCTTCACCCCACTTCCCACTCACTCCTTCCTACCCCAGGACCTTTGCACATACTGTTTCCTCCGTTTGGAAGGCTCTTCCCTAGTGTAGACACAATGCCTGGCACACAGTAGGTGCACAATCAATAGTCTCTGGGGGAATAAATAAAATGGGCTAAAAACTCCAAAGAGTTATGACATTTGGGTTCTTATTCAAGCTCTCGCTAACTGTGCAACTTTGAACCTGAGCGTAACTTCAATGTGCCTCAGTTTCCCAGCCATTCTGGGGGAATAAATAAAATGGGCTAAAAACTCCAGAGTTATGACCTTTGGGTTCTTATTCAAGTTCTCGCTAACTGTGCAACTTTGAGCCTGAGCGTAACTTCAATGTGCCTCAGTTTCCCAGCCACTAGAGAGGGCAAACATTTCTTTCTCCCTTACCAAACTGTTTTTAAGGGTACTTTCCAAGAGGAGAAACAGATGGGGAATCGAAAGGTACCAAATGCTGGACAAAAATAAAGGGCGATTCTGACTTTCTAAATCTTTATTTGATCCTCAACGGATTCACGGTCTCCTGTTTCCCTTCCACAACAGCCGCCAGATCAGCTGCTTCACTGGGGTCTCAGCGACCCTACCCCTTCAGGCAGGATTGGGTGGGTGGGAGAAGGGCCGGTGGGGAGAATGATTTAGGAAAACCAACTTGCACGTGGCTGTGATTTAGTGGAGAGCAGGGCAGCAGCCCATGAGTTAACTTTACTGGACCACACAAGAAAATAAAACCAAATTACTCCTGGAGATCAAATTCATTCCTGACCTGTGTGTTCTTTTTTAACTAAATCCTCATTCGAAGGAAATCTGAAGTAAAGCCCACGCTGGCCTGGTTTTCCACTGAGGGCTTAAGGGAAGTGCTTCTCTCTGTGCTCAGAGGCAGTGGGGTCAGAAGCGCCTCCCAGGCTGGAGAGAACATTAATAAATATTCGTTGCCTTGAGTAAGAATAACGATGGTCGTTGTTTAGAACCACAACGACAGGCCTTTATTGAGCACTTACTATGCACCAGACCCCACATAAATGCACCTCGTGGTCTCCAGCTGCAGGGGCGGAACTGCCTGACAAGCGGCTGGGCGCTGATTCCCCACTCTGTTCTCACATGGCCATGCTTCCCGTGGCTGCTCTCAGCCACACCCTGAGCCAGCAGGGACGCGAGGCAGCCCTGTTTCTGAGAGATGCAGGGTTCCTTTGGAGGGCGACTTCGTGCTTCTGGATTCCTCGTCACCTGGTTGAAACTTCCTCAGACGGCCCTGCAGTCTAAGAATCTCCCTGACTCCCTACCCCTGCTCTCCCCCCACAGTGTGCAGACTGTACCCAGGCCTGTTGTCTCCACAGCCCCCCTCCAGCTCCCTCTCAATTTCCCTCACACGCATTCTCCCCAACAAGTCTCATGCACATTTCTTCCTATCTTGGCTCCTGCTTCTAGGAAAATAGGACCTAATGCACACCCTTATCCTTCCCATTTTACAGATGAGGACACTGAGGCCCAGAGATGTCAAGGCATGAGCCCGCGGTCACACAGTTAGAGACCATTGAAGACTATTGGGCCTGGGATTCCAGCTCAGGCAGTCGAGATCCAGAGCCCAGGCTCTCAACCACATCCATGCAGATACGCACTTTGCCTCCATGAGACAAGGCAGGATCCCGGTACAGTTCTGTACCAGGCACAATTCTAATTGCTTGGTCTATGACGTCTCATTTGGCCTTATGTTCACTCTTGGAAAGAACTGGAACTATTGTCTCCATCTTCCAATGAAGAATCTGAGGCTCAGAGAGGCTAAGTAACTTGCTTATAGTCACACAGCCAGCAGCTTCCAGAGATGGGGGGGGGGGGGGGGTTGAACCCCATGTCTGATTCAAGGGCAGCTATGAGAATGTGCCTGGTGGACCTCCAACTACAAGGGCATAACCCACCCAGGTCCCAGCTGTGGTGCGTGGAAATCCATGCCATGTTTGTGCCAAGGCCACGCCCCCAGCTGACAACCGGATGTGGTGGGGGCACTATGGCAGGCCCACTCTTAGGTGACATGGGGCCTAAGGACTCCCCGACGGCCTTGCTGAACTTGTGTCTAGGAAGCTTCCGCTCACCCCTCCTCACTAGGGTCAGACTCGGGGCTGCCTAACAGCTCTGCATGTCCCCCAACTCTCCCTGCCTCCCCTCACACAGCATTCCCTTTCATGAAATCCTCGTCTGTGTAATCCCATGGTGGCATTTTCTCAGAGGACCCTGACTAACAGATGACAACATCTCTTTTTTCCCCCCACGAGTGAGATCACGGGAATCACCCCAAAGTCTAAGGTCTTTTATTTGAGCATTTCCAGACTGACTCTGGAAAAGGCCAGATTGCTTATCTGATCCTGGGGCTGGAGGTGTGTGTTGCTAGTTCTGGGGGCGGGGGGGCTACAAATGGGGTGACTGTGACCTTGCCACAGGAGGGGACAGAGTCACAGACTTCTCATATGGGCGAGTGAGGCCCCAGTGTGACTGTGTGGGAATCCAGCCTCGCACATTAGCCAGTTCCGGTCATCTGTCTCACTGTGTGGCCTTGGGCAGGTGCGTTTCCCTCTCTGGGCCTCAATGTACAATGGTCTTGGGGAAGCTCTCTGGCTCCCCATTTGCAAGGATCTAGAGCCCCCTCCGGGGCCCACTCACAGTCCCAAGGCATTGACTCACAGCTTGACGAATGGATCTGAGTAGCCATTGGCGTCCATGGCGGCCAGGTGCACGCAACGTATGATGCCCACGATGAGGCCGCCCTGCTGTGTGCTGTACATGAGGGACACCAGGATCTTGCCGCGCTCCTCTATGTCGCCAATGCGCTCCACCTGCTGCAATAGGAGAAGAGGGCGCGTGAGCCCCCAGGGGAGCAGGCCAGGCACCTGGATGGGAGCATTAGGGCAGGGCCCTGGGAAGTGGGAGGAGCTGGGCCAGCGCTAGTGCCGTCAGCACCATGGACAGCGGAGCCCCGCCTCCAGGGAGGGGCGGATGCTGAAGGCCAAGGGGACTGGTCTGGGCACAGGTCAGTGGTTTTACTTCAACTGAGCTAAACCCGTGTCACGTGTAGACTTTGATCCTGGTCAGTGACTGCCCCGACTCTGACCCAGGACTGAGCCTTGACCCTGGCCTTGCCTGATCCCTGATAGCACCCGTTTTCTCACAAATGTGGTCCCTGGGGTTGCACAGAGACCTAGCCTGAGGGCATGGGCACCCAGAGCTCAAAGAGCCTCTGGTCCGTCCCCACGGAGGGAGGTGGCATCGCTCCCGTCCTGCAGGAGCACCGCAGGGCCTCTGCCAACGAGGCCGAGGAACTCAAGGGTGTCCCTGGTGGGAGAGGATGGGGCTTCCCCGGCCTCGGGCTCCAGGTGTGAAAGCATCCACCTGGTCTCATGTCCTAACACCGTGGGCAAGGCAGTTCTCATGTGAACCAACAGGCAGGGGGTTTGGGAGAAAGAGTAGGGGTGGGGCCGGGGAGGGAAAGAAGAGGGAGGGGCCAGCCCCCGATTGGGGTCTCAATGTCCACTCAGTGCTCACCTCCTCCTCATAGAGGGCCATGCCTCGGGCGGAGCCGGTGGTCCCTGCACGCTTCATCTGAGAAGGAAACAGAAAGGAAATAGAACATCGTCCACGGGGCTCATCTCCCTACGCAGAAAGGACCAGATGCTCCTCCCCCTCCATTAGCATCCGGAGCCACGAGGACAGGATTTCCGAGCTTCTGTGGCATCCAGCTTTCCCCCTTTTAGCTAAAAGCTGCATAACACGACCCACTGGCAGACGGTGTTAGTGCCTGTGATGCAGGTTGTATTCATAGCCCCATTTTACAGATGAGGACACTGAGGGTCAGAGTGGTTAAGCCACTTGCCCAAGGTCACCCAGCCAAGAAGTGGCAGAGCGCCCCATGCATACAACCGACAGGATTTGATCTGCTCTGGTGGTGGCGGCACAGGGGTCTTGGGGTCGGGCCACCAGGTGCTTCTTCCCCTGCGGCTCCTAAGGTCCTTTTGGGGGACTCTAAGGCCCTCGGGAACACAGTGTGAAAAGAGCTGGTTAACCTCCCCACTTTAGAGATGAGGAAAACTGAGGCCCAGGGGGGAGGAAGGGACAGCACTGATGTGGCCCCTGCCCGTGGTGGGGCTACGGGGAAAGTTGGTGGTGGGAGGACCAGGGCACAGAGCGAAAGATGATGACCTGTCTGGGGCCACTGCGGCCTCTGTCGGTCCAGCCACTAGGGCCGGCTGCGCCCCTCACAGCAAGACGGGCAGACCCAGGAGCTGGCGACTCGGGCGGCGGCCTGGCCACTGTCCTGGCCACCTGGACTCATTGAGCGCAGGAAGGAAGCGGAAGCCCGAAGAGCCCGCTGTTCCTGGGCAGGGCCCAGAGGAAACGCCCCCCCTGCCACCCCCAGGCTGTCTTCTGAGTTTTATTTGGAGCCTGGCATTCGGTGCACACTCTTCCTTGTGGTTTTCCTTGTTGTGTCTTGTTCCTTCGCCTGCGCCACACAAACACGGCGTGGCACCCGGACAGTCCATCCTCGGGCCAGCCATCTGGTGGGAGGCTGCTATAGGATCCCCCTCCGCCTGCCACGGCTTTCCCCCCGCCTCACCCCCTGTGGGCAGCTGGCCCTCTGCCTGGGAGCTGGCGACTGCAGGAGACCTGGGCTCTGGCTGGCGGGGAACATAGCCACGGATTCACGGTGTGACCGTGGCAGCTCACTCCCCTCCCTGGGCCCGAGGTGGCCCGCAAGTCGAAAAGGGCAGGTTGGATTATGTCTGAAAGTACAGATGGCTGGTCCCACCCTGCCTCGCGAAGTCGGGATCTCAGCTGGTGAGGCTCTGGTTTTAAAATCTCCAGTTGGTTCTGAGCCGTAGCCCCACTGGAGAACCTCAAGTTGGTTTTTGTTCTTTCTCAAGAGGCCAGAAGCACATCTAACAAGCAAGTCCTCGTGCTTTAGAAGAACTCTCACGGGAATCCTTAAACGCCCCAAGGAGACGGATACTCTAATAACATCCCGTTTTACAGATGAAAAAACAGGGCCCAGGTTCTATGACAAGTGGCAGAGCCAGGATTCCAACCCAGGGACTCTGGGTCCAGAGTCTGTGCTCTCAGCACTGAGCTATCCTGCCCCCTACTCATCTGTGTGGGGCGTTATGCCTTCATGAGTGACAGGTGGGTCGGCAGTAGGACTCCTATAAGAATGACAGTTGACCATGTCGAGTGCTCACTGTGGACTAGGTTCTGTTCTGATTGTGTCTCTCACACAAACCTCCCACGAGGCAGGCACTGTATCATGCCCACTGACAGACGAGAAAAGCTGAGGCTCAGAGCGGCTCAGGCCCTCGGAGAGGCCAGGGAGCAGGGAGATAGCGGACCCAGGCTTTGAACCCAGGCCGGCCCCACTGCCTCAGCACTCTGCCCGCCCCAGTGTCACCAAAGAGGACTCTGCCGGTCGGAGAACTGACGCTAACGCCGGGCTGGTACGAGGCAGAGCCAGGGCCCCACCCTGAGGCTCTGACCTGAAATCTTCACCTCCTCTCAGCAGCTGTACTGTGTGTCACCCCGCGGGCCCAGAGGAAGGCAGCACCCCCAGAACTCTCCCCCCCGCCCCCCCATCGCACCCTCAGGGGGAGGCACTCACCGGGATCACGCGCTCTAGGCAGATGTTGAAGTTCTTTCTTTGGTTGGACTTTAGCTTCTTGAGTGAGAATCGGGTCTCACCGATAAACTCGTTGTGGCCAAATTTGTCCTCGTCACAGACAGAGATCCTGCGACCCCCCAAGAGGGTGGGAGAGGAAAAAGAGCATGTAGTGAGCTCTCACTGGGTTCCGAGAGCTGCGATGGATGCTGGCAAAGAATGTGTGATGTGCATAGTGGCACTTTAACTTCCTGTTTATTGAGCATGAGGCCAGGTGTGTGTTAAAGTCTGAGTACTAGGCCCTGGCCAGGTGGCTCAGTGGGTTGGAGTGTCATCCTGTACACCAAAAGGTTGTGGGTTTGATCCCTGCTTGGGGCCTGTAGGGTAGGCAACTGATCAGTGTTTCTCTCTCTCTCTCTCTCTCTCTCTCTCTCTCTCTCTCTTCATTAAAAACATATTCTTGGGTGAAGATTTTTTTTAAAAAAGACTGAGTACTGTGTTCATGGATGTTTGTTCTATTATAATCTACAGTTTTCTGTATATTTGTAATATTTATTAATGAAAGTATTTTTTTAAAAATCTGTAATCAACCCATTCTGTGGAAAACCCTGAAGCAGTTAAAATGACGTAGATCTAAATGTCCCTCATGGCTATGACTCTAAGACACTTCGTCAAGAAAAAAGGAAGGTTCCAGATACATCGCACGAAACTGTCCAAGTTGCCAACATGGTCTGAGTGCCCAGGGTCACAGGAGGAGGAAGCGGACCCCGGCGGTGGGCGGGACTAACGTAAACGGGGTTACTTCCTCTATCATATTTTACAAGAAGAATGTATTCCCGTGTCACTGATATAATTTAAAACGCAGTGTCAGACAACATTGTAGAAGATGCGATGCATCAACATATGGTTAAAACAGCCTGATTAATAGGACGGTCCATTTTTAAAAGTATGTTTTCATTGATTTTTTCAGAGAGAACGGGAGAGGGAGAGAGAAGTAGAAACATTAATGAGAGAGACTCATGGTCGGTTGCCTCCTGCACGCCCCCTACTGGGGATGGAGCCCTCAACCCGGGCAGGTGCCCTGACCGGAAATCAAACTGGCCACTTCTTGGTTCCTGGGTCGATGCTCAGTTGCTGAGCTACACCGGCTGGGCATGACGGTCTGTTTTTTAAAGCACTCAATTTCGTAAGAAACGTTTACACGCATGCACACGCATGCACACACACACACTCACACACACTCACACACACACACACACACACACACACACACACACACACAGATGCCCAGACACCCAGATGCAAAGAGTTTCACTTATCTGTATTGTTAGAAGTTTCTACCAGAAATACATGTTGTTTTGTAGAAGTAAAAAGAGAAAGAAACACTACACAGAGAGGTTTTAACATGTGGCCCCACAAGGACCGCACGCGTCTCAATCCGCCAGCCTCGGCCCCCTCTGCCCACCCGGCAGGTACCTGAGCGTCTTCCGCTGCATGTCCTCATCCGTGATGCCGTGATAGACGAGGGTCTCGTTCCAGATGGGGTTCCGGGTGTTCCGCAGGGTTTTTGTCCGAAGCTTGTTGGACTAGAGCCCAGAGACGGACAGACAGACACCAGCCTCAGCGGGGAGCCAGCCCCGCAGCCACACCCTTTGGGCTGATTTGGGGTGGGGGGTGGAGGAGTAATTTAGGAGACACTCCCTTTAGGAGTGTACAGGGGCTCAGGGGCTCCCAGATGCACGTCTCAGGGCGTGGGGGGCATCTTCAGGCTCATGTCTGCAGCCATCAACAGGGCTGGACACTGAGCCACCCCTCCCTCCACGCAGTAGGCTCTCTCTTTGAACTTTCCATTAAGATTAAAAAGCAGTGCCATGGCCGGTGTTGTTCAGTGGTTAGAGCAGGGGTGGGCAAACTTTTTGACTCGAGGGCCACAATGGGTTCTTAAACTGGACCGGAGGGCCGGAACAAAAGCATGGATGGAGTGTTTGTGTGAACTAATATAAATTCAAAGTAAACATCATTACATAAAAGGGTAAAAAAATACATAAAAGGGTACGGTCTTTTTTTTTTTAGTTTTATTCATTTCAAACGGGCCGGATCTGGCCCGCGGGCCGGAGTTTGCCCACGGCTGGGTTAGAGTGTCAGTAGGTTTGATATCAGTCAAGGGCATGTACCTCAATTGTGGGTTCTCTCCCCGCCCCCAATCGGGCACATGCAGGAGGCAACCAATTGATGTGTCTCTCTCATATTGATGTTTCTTTCTCCCTCGCTCTCCCTCTCCCTCCCTTCCTCCCTCTTTCTTTCCCTCCCTCTCTCCCTCCCTCTCTCCCTCCCTCCTTCCCTGCTCTCCCTCTCCCTCCCTCCCTCTCTCTTCCTTTCCCTCCCTCTCTCCCTCCTTCTTTCCCTCCCTCCTTCCCTTTCATTCTCTCTCTCTCTCTGAAAAAGCAATGGAAAAAATATATCCTAGGTGAGGATTAAAAAAAGAAAGAGAGAGCCCTAGCCGGTTTGGCTCCGTGGATAGAGTGTCAGTCTGCAGATCAAAGGGCCCTGGGTTCGATTCCGGTCAAGGGCACG